ACCCATGTGGGAGACCCAGCTGAAGCTCCTGGCTTCAGCACTGCTGAGCCCCAGCTGTTGAGACCATTTGGGGAGTGAACCAGTAGATGGAAGATCTCTCTCTCCCTCTCTGTAACCCTGCCTTTCAAATAAATGAATCTTTTAAAAAGAAAGAAACTATTGTGCACCTCAGAGGCTAGGGTGGAACACAGGGGCTACAGAAGGGAGTCCACTGGTTCTCAGCACCCATCAGTTAGTTCCCACACTGTGGGAAACAGAGAACCCCAGATATCAGTGGCTTAAATAAGAAGGCCTCAAGTGGGTGCTTCCTCGTGAAAGAGGACTGAAGGCAGTCAGGCTAGTTCCACCCTACTGCTCTGCAGGCCGCACCCACCTCGTGGCCCAAACTGACTGCTGAGCGTCAGCCACCTTGAGGACATTGCCCCAACAGGAATGAGGAAAGGGAGGAAAATAGGCCTCTCCCCTCCCTTTAAGGATAGCTCTGGGAAGCGTCATCAGCCACGTCTGCTTCTATCCAGAATCTAAAGCCATAGCTAGCAGGAAGGACGACAAGGACATTTTGTCTCTGTTCCAGGCAGGCGGGTGCCTACCTAAAACTGGTGAGGGGAGGAGGCTCTATCATGTTGCAGAAAGTGGAATTAGGAGGTAGGTAGCAGCTTCTGCCACCCAGGGCCAATGGTTAAGAGCTTATAAAAGCCCTGCTGAAGGGGCCAGCATTGTGATGGACCTGGTTAAGCCACCTCCACCAATGCTGATTCAAGTCCTGGCTCCACTTCCAATCCAGCTCCCTGTTTATGGCCTGGAAAAACAGAAGATGGCCCAAGTGCTTGGGCCCCTGCACCCATGTGGGAGACCCAGGAGCTTCTGGCTCCTGGCTTCAGCCTGGCCCAGCCCTGTCTCTTCTGGCCATTTGGGGAGTGAACCAGTGGATGGAAGAGCTCCTCTCTCCATCTCTCTCTAACTCTGCCTTTCAATAAATAAAATAAAAATGTTTTGAAAAGCTCTGTTGTGAAGACTACAAGATTGATTGATTTCTGGTGTAGCAGGTAGGCAACATTCTCACTTCTCAAAGGTGGGCCAGCAGCATTGTCATCACCTGGAAGCTGGTTAGAAATGCCAAACCAGGCCCCAACCCAGCTCTGTGAAATCAGAAGTTGTATTTTAATAAGATTTCCAGCATGGGGCTAGAAGATCCCAGAGAAAGTTCAGTGACTGCAGCATAGACTAGGCTGTGGGAGTGTTTCAGGTAAAGTAATGATTGGGCTCCTGTATGTCAGGGGCGCCCTACAGAGTGGGCTCAGACCAGTCGGAGAGTTGAGTGTCTGACCTGAGTCAGCAACACAGGTAGAAGAAGTTACCAGCAAATGGGAACAAGGAATGAGAGGAGGAAGAGAGGCCATCGAGAACCTTGGAAAGATCATGGCCTTGATGACAAACTTTAAAAGACTATTGGTGAAACACAGATTCACCTGCCCTGTATTGTGGCCCAGGCAGCCCTGAACCCTCCCAACACCCTGATTGGCAGGAACTGGGCTTCCCATTTCTATTGATGAAACGGAGCTTCAGAGATGTTGCCACGTCAAAGCACACACCAAATACAGACACAGCTCACGGTAACACTTGGTGGAGAGCAAACCAGTTTCCAAGGCACTATTATATGAATTATCCAGTCTAATCCTCACAATTACTCTGTGAAATAAGCAGAAAATGACTGTCATTTTAACTTTGCCAGTAAAGAATTCAAGGACTTTTGACTTAGAGCAGTGATGGTTCCTATCCGTTTTTGTTTCCTGATTGACTCATGAAGAAAGGATGAGAGTGTGGGGATGACAAAGACCCGAATTTATTCGGCTTTTGAGGGTTCAGCCCAGGGACAGGCATAGAGAGTAGATCCTTCAGTGGAAGTTGGTATTGTCGTTGTCATCATCACAATGGTTGGTTTCACCCAAAAGAGCAGCAAATTTAAAAGTAATTTATTAGCATAAGTCTCAAAGTCAAATACATAGGGGAAATTTGAGTGAAGAGATTATGTAGGCAGCAGACAAGGAACACCAAAGCTTCAGAGCTTGATCTCTGCGGTCAGACAAGCAGGGCCTGCTCACCAGCCCCAGTCCTTATTCTATGGAGACGTTGGGCAAGGGGGTAACATCCTCCCCATCACGTCCTCATCTTCAAGGCAGATGCTTCACTGGGCAATGGTAAGAGAACTGAATGAAGTGAAGTGCATATGATGCCAGCCTAATGCTCAGAGCACAGCAAATAAACGTTCAGTAATTATTATCTAGTATTAAGTCTGCTTGTGAATGGAAGGGTGGAGTTTGTGGAAGCCAAAGCAGCAGCAGGCTTCAAGAGTAAGATAACCTACATTAACCATTTTGAGTGTTTATCAGATAGTTACCTTTCTTGATATCAACTTTACATTTAAAAGGGATAACCCGTCTTCCTCAGGTCCACAGTCCTTATACACAAATCGCAATGATCTTGCCTAGTTGCTACCTTCATGACTGGGGTTTCCAAGTTGTGAACTTTTTAAATTCTCACAAATCCATTTGGTAACTCTGAACCTACCGAAGGAGTATGAAGTAAATAGTCACCACCCTTTACCTTTAATGTTTATGAGGTGAATGAGATCAAAGGGAAAACACCGATGAACCTTTGTTGTCTCATTTAGGAGAAGCTTTGGCACAATTTATGAAGGTGACAAATGGTCTGCTTCCTAGAACCTTTTTGTTCCACCCTGGAAATCTATATTTTCCTTTAGTATATCGATTTCTTGTTATACAGCGGGAATGGCTATTAAATATCTTTATTTGAGAGCTTGGGGGTGCCAGATTGTGAGAAGAAAAATGCATCTGGAGAGTCGATGGCAAGGGGAGAGGAATCCCAGGAGAAGGCAATCTCTCTTTCTCTCTCTGAGAAATTGCTTGCAATTTGATGGAAGGACAGAGAGACTTGCCAGAGGAAGAAGAGGGGGACACTCAAGCAAAACGTCATCACGAGACGCCCTTTGATGGATGGGGAAGACTGCACCAGAGGAGAGAGCACTTTCCCGCTGGCCGGTTCAGTTCAGCTCAGCTTTTTGGCCTGTAGCACAGTGGCAAGATTCAGTGTGACAAATTGTGGACGATCCGATAGACAGCAAGCTGACCCAAACCAGGAAGACACTGAAGGGCTCTTTTTCTGTGTTTGGATAAGACACTGATTTGTCTTTGGGGGTGAGATTGGATCTTCACTCCCAAAATGTATCTGAGAGGTTGTGTTGACTGATGATGAACAATGTTCCAAGCACCATTTTTTCTAAGCCATGCAAATAACACTTCTGTAGTGTATTTATAGTCTCAAAGCATGTTCACCTGCTTCATCTCATCTTATAAATAACCCTGCAGGGGCCGGTGCTGTGGCATAGTGGGTAAAGCCACTGCCTGCAGTACCAGCATCCCATATGGGCACCAGTTCGAGACGAGACCCAGCTGCTCCACTTCTGACCAGCTCTCTGCTATGGCCTGGGAAAGCAGTAGAAGATGGCCCAAGTCCTTGGGCTCCTCCACCCGCATGGGAAGATCTGGCAGGAGCTCCCATCTCCTGGCTTTAGATCGGCACAGCTCCAGCTGTTGCGGCCAACTGAGGAATGAACCAACGGATGGAAGACTCTCTCTCTCTGCCTCTCCTCTCTCTGTAACTCTTGACTTTCAAATAAATAAATAAATCTTTAAAAAAAAAAATAACCCTGAAAGGTAAGTCTCAAAAAGCTCATTTTCATACTTGAGAAAATTGAGGTTCAGAGAAGTTTATATGCAGTTTCCAAACCTGGTCTGTTTGCTATCTTTCTTTGGATCTTCCAATAAGTGTCTGTCTATGGTCAAGTTCCCACAAGGGGCTGTCTTGGAAGCTCCTTTGTGCCAATCATCCCCTGGGTGTTTTTTTTTTTTTTTTTTTTTTTTTTTTTTTTTTTTTGACAGGCAGAGTGGACAGTGAGAGAGACAGAGAGAAAGGTCTTCCTTTTGCCATTGGTTCACCCTCCAATGGCCGCCGCGGCTGGCTGGTGTGCTGCGGCTGGCACATCCCTCTGACCTGAAGCCAGGAGCCAGGTGCTTCTCCTGGTCTCCCATGGGGTGCAGGGCCCAAGCACCTGGGCCATCCTCCACTGCACTCCCTGGCCACAGCAGAGAGCTGGCCTGGAAGAGGGGCAACCGAGACAGAATCTGGCGCCCTTACCGGGACTAGAACCCGGTGTGCTGGTGCCGCAAGGCAGAGGATTAGCCTATTGAGCCGTGGCGCCGGCTCCCCTGGGTCTTAACAATACTTTTCCCTCCATGCCAGTTTCATGAGCCCTGACATCTCTCAAAGGCCTGAAGGACCCATCTGTGGTCTTGTTGGGGACCAAGAGAAGTGGCTACAAGAAGTGGAAAGAACAGTGTGGGGCCGGCGCCGCGGCTCAATAGGCTAATCCTCCGTCTTGCGGCGCCGGCACACCAGGTCGGGGCGTCCCGGTCGGGGCACCAGATTCTGTCCCGGTTGCCCCTCTTCCAGGCCAGCTCTCTGCTGTGGCCAGGGAGTGCAGTGGAGGATGGCCCAAGTGCTTGGGCCCTGCACCCCATGGGAGACCAGGATAAGTACCTGGCTCCTGGCTTCGGATCAGCGCAGTGTGGCAGTGTGCTGGCCACAGCGCGCCGGCTGCGGTGGCCATTGGAGGGTGAACCAATGGCAAAAGGAAGACCTTTCTCTCTCTCTCTCTCTCTCTCTCACTGTCCACTCTGCCTGTAAAAAATAAAAAAAAAAATTAAAAAAAAGAACAGTGTGGTCCCATCAGCAACCAAGCTTTAACTCCCTTGGCTTTCAAGAACCCTGTGTTCTTGGTTCCTCCGCAGCACTCACCCCCTACAGCATCCTCTCACATGACTCTATAGAGCCCTTGGCCACCCTCCAGCTGCCCTAAGTATCCCATCCTTTAAAAGGGACCACCCTCCTCCCCCCTCACCCCCGCCCCAGTCCATCTCAGCCAAGAGAGCAATCACTTACTACACGTGGCTCTCTCCTCTACAGAATTTCCAGCTTAGGGAACAAACAGCCCAAGAAGGGTCTTCCTAAGCCACACCAGATATGCTCCTTCACCCAGGGGATGCATCTTTAAAATAGGTTGGGGCCAGTGCTGTGGCTTAGTGGGTAAAGCTGCTGCCTGCAATGCTGGCATCCCATATGGGTGCCAGTTCAAGTCCCAGCTGCTCCACTTCTGATCCAGCTCTCTGTTATGGCCTGGGAAAGCAGTAGAAGATGGCCCAAGTCCTTGTGCCCCTGCACTCATGTGAGAGACCTGGAAGAAGCTCCTGGCTCCTGGCTTTGGATTGGTGCAGCTCCAGCCATTGCAGCCATTTGGGGAGTGAACCAGAGAATGGAAGACCTCTCTCTCTCTGCCTCTCCTTCTCTCTGTGTAACACCGACTTTCAAATAAATAAATCTTTTTTTTTTAAAAGTACATGCTCTATGTTCGGTTCTTTATCTGAAATTCAGATGTCAGTGGAGTGATGTTGACTCTTGAGATGGAGATAAGTGGTTTAGACCTCCCTTTCTATGAATTATGGAAAGCCTACCAATCTCCACACAAGTTCTTTGAATCTCAAAGAGTGCTTTATACTTCTTGATGAGCTCAAGCTCTGAATACCAGCTTCTTCAGACATACTGTTTGGGGATTCTTTTGCTGTTCTCCATATGGTGTCTCTTAGATATTTATTCTAATTAATACGGACAAAACTAATCAAGTAATTCACACGTGTTGCAACCTTTACTGAACCTCTCAGGAAAGGGAGAGTCTGCATTACAACAACTCGATTTGAAATCCATCATCGATCTCCCCATTTTTTTATAAGGCCTTTGACCAGATCTACATCCTGGGCTCTGAGCCCAAGCACAGGTCATTTATAAACTACAGAAGTTTATTGCTTACAGTTCTGGGGTCTGTGAGGTCCAAGACCGAGGCAAGAGCAGCTGTGAACTCCCTGTGTCACACAAAGTGCCTCCCGTGTGGCCTCAGGGCAGAAAGGGCTAATGGGTTTCCCAGGCCTCTTTCTAAGGGCACTAATCCCATCACCGACTGTCGCTCCCCCTCTTCGCGGAAGAACAACACAGGACCCTGCGCTGTTCTTTTATCTGCTCGGCCCTCCCCGGGTTTGCTGCTGGTTCTTCCCGGGTTGGCTGCTGTCCCTCCACCTCCGTGGAGGGGCGGGCCCCCCTGCCACTTTCCCCACTTCCGCGGGGGAGCTGCACACCGCCGGCCGGCTCTCTTGGGGGCTGCTCAGATGTTCCTCAAGTGCTCCCCTTAGATGTTCCTGGTGCATGTTGTCTCTCTCCTCCTTTATAGTCCTCTTCCACCAATCCCAACTCTGCTACCCACACGCCAAGTACGCTGCTCTCCTCCAATCAGGAGCAGGATCAGCTCCTGCAGGTCATCACTCAAGTTGGCGAGAGGCAGCTGCGTAGAAGCTGTTTACTCCTCTCCCAGCGCCATATTGTGGGAGAGCAGATGCATAGAATAAGTCTTAATTCCAGTAACTTAGTCTAGTCCAAGTTGCTCCCCACAACCGACAACCTCCTTCTAAGGGCCCCACCTCTTAATTTACTACTGCACTGGGGATTAAGTTTCAACACAGGAATTTTAGGAGGACACACACATCCAGACCAAGGCATCTTCTGTACTTGAGCTTTCACTTCCCAGTAGCCTGAGACCCAAATTCTTTGTCCTCTTCTTTTTCCACAATGCAGACAAATCCATTAAGTTCTGTCCAGCCCACAACCGTTTAAAACACCTACCTGAACTCATACAGGCCACTGCTTCTGCCATCAAAGGCGTTGCTAAAGATGTAAAGCGATCCTTCTTAATGACTTTTTAGAAATTTAGAAATTAAATTTAAACTCATTCTCACTCATGGGAGTGGGAAACAGGAAACCGACGACATTCCGCTCCAGCTTTCACTACAGCCTCAGGAATCTGAAGTCTCCAACATCGGTGGCAAAGGTCAGAGAAGCCAAGGGCAGCTCATCTTGGACAACACCCAGAAGTGTCCATGTCTTCATACATGGTGTTCAGACCAGAACCCAGCCTTGCAGGTGGGATCTGAGCACCACACAGGAGAGCAGGACCCCCTCAACCCACTTCCATTCTTTATCCCAGGGATACAACCTGAGAAAGAAACCCAGGCAGAGAGAGTTGAGTCTATAGCACAAGGTCACACAGCCTGCCTATGGAAGAAGTAAAAACAGGCTAGGTAAGGCCTTCTGCTTGGAGCTTTCCAAAACTGGGCTTATGGGGGGTAGGGAGATTTTGGGTGGTGCAGAGATATTTATCTGGAGGTCAGGGAGAGGATGGCCATTTATAATTATTATTACAGCTCATATTTATTGAATTTTATAGTGTGTCAGGTCCTTCCTCTGTAAAACAGAAGCCATAATTTTGTATTCAGTTAAAGCATTATTAAGGGGATTACATAAGGTAGGAATGTATTTGTTGGTACCTTATTTCCATTTCTTTCAAACGGCATTGGCAGATTCCTTTTAACCAAGTACGGAATACCACAACAATCCCTGTTAAAATATATAGGCTCATTTAGGATCACTCAGATTAACACTGCTCTGAACTGCTTTTCTATATTCAGCCTTTACTTTTTTCCTCCTGGGATACACTGAGCAGCTATGAGTCTTAAAAATCTATTCATGCGGCCAGCACTGCAGGTAAAAGCCACCACCTGCAGTGCCAGCATCCCCTATGGGCGCCGGTTCCAGTCCTGGCTGCTCCACTTCCCATCCAGCTCTCTGCTATGGCCTGGGAAAGCAGTAGAAGATGGCCCAAGTCCTTGGGCCCCTGCATCTATGTGGGAGACCCAGAAGAAGCTTCTGGCTCCTGACTTTGGGACAGCCCAGCTCTGGAGTTGCAGCCATTTGGCAAGTGAACCAGTGGATGGAAGACCTCTCTCTTTGCCTCTGCCACTCTACCTTTCAAATAAATAAATATTTTAAAAAAAAAATCTATTCATAATAAAGCGAAAGCATAGAACCCCATTCCTGTGACTCACACCTTTCTTTCATTAAGAATGAATCCACACCACCTGGTTGCTTTATACCCTGCGCTCTGGCAATGGGAAAGTCCAAGAGAATTTGAGATGGTGCCTTCAAGTCAGTTAATCCTCGAACATACCCAACCTTAAACGTTAATATCTTCAGTTACACAACCTCTCAAAGGAGCCTAGAAAACCTCCGAACGTCCGCTTACGGAATAAATTCCTAACTTTGATGGTAACTCTTGGTAGCATTCCCCACAGGCCCTGTCTGAAATGGAGGCGATAGGACGTTATGGAATGGAAAATTCTTAGGGTTTGTCACCTGACTTTAGCGCTAAAGGGACTGAGGATTATCTGCACCGACAGTTGAAAACATTGCTCCTGGAAAGGGAAAGGGACATGTCCCAAACCATCCCAGTTGGTGGCAGAGCCTGGTCAGACCTAGAGAGAGGTAACCGGGGAAAGACACACTGGGCAGGAGTCAGATCCCCAGGAGAGGGAAGACCCCCGGAGCCAAGTTGCTAACAGGCCTTCGGAAAGCCATCACAGAGGGCAGTGTGGTGGGGAACCCCAGACCTCGCCAGGAGGGTCAAAGCCTTGCTGCGGGGCTGGTTTCCGAAGGCGAGCAAGCCGCAGCTGCCGGCGCACGCCCAGCCTCGCGGTGCCCGGCAGTAACCCCGAGAGCGCGGCAGCCTTGGTTAGAGAAGAAACAAACAGAAAACATGCTGCCTCTGGTTTGAAACCCGGTCGTTAGGCGCGGCCCCCTGGCAGTAGTGGGAGCGTTAAGTTTGAGCCCACGTGGCCTTCCCACGCGCGTGGGCTCCGTGTGCAAGCCCCGAGCTCTGCGCCCCACCCCTGCCCCGCTCCTTTCCAGGGGATGTGGGCAGAGCTGAACGGAGGCCAGCAGTGGGAGAGGTGGGAGCCTGAGGCCCACAGGCCGGGGGAAGAAGGAAGGTGATGGCGTGGCGCACGCAGGAGAGTCGAGGGGGCCTGCGACTGTGCCCAGTCCCGCCCGGCCCAGAAGTTGGAGCACGTCCGCAAAGCCCACACCCGTCAGTTCAGAGCGGAACCGAAACCACAAAAATAAACGCTCGCCGGACCTAGCCCCGGTGGGCAGAGAGCGGTGCGCAGGCGCGCAGAGCGCGGCGTCTGACCTCGAGTTACCCCGCGCGGCGAGCCGCGGTGAACTGGGTGAAAGGTAACTAGCAGACGCTGCTCCGGGCGACGGCGAGGCGCGCGTGCGCGGGCCTGGTCCGCAGCTAGGTCCTCCAAGTCTGCGTTTCATCTAACCGTGCAAGTGGCAGAGCCCAAGGCCTGAGGCACTGGGGCGGGGGCATCGAACAGACTTGGAAAATTCTTGTTCCCCCCAACCTCAGTGCAGAAATGAGGTCCAGGCACGGTGCGGGGGAGAAAACCACTCAATGAGGGCCATTTGCGTGCCTGGGACAGTGCTGGGAGCAATGCATTGTTACTGTTTGCCACAACCCTTTGAAAGAGGCAACTGACCTCCTATTTTGGGGGAAGGAAACAGGCTAAGACAATTCATGTGACATGCGCAGTCATGTGATCAGAAAGGGCCGTTTCCTTCAGTCTAAGTGGGGTTTTGCCCGAGTTGAAATAAAGGATACAGGTAGCACGTGTCGCTAGGCAAGGCTCATAGGCATTACTCATTCCACTCTTACTGGAAACCTATGAGCTAGACGGTATTACTGTTTCCTTTCTGCAGATGGGAAGCTGAAACTTAAGGAGGCTGTGCTGGGATCACACAGACCAGCAGACCTGTGATTTGTGTGCGCCCTTTTAGAGGGATGAAACTCAAAGCTCAAGACCAGGTTCTGCCCCTGCCACCCCACAGGCCCACGAGTTGTTGAAGTTCAATGCTCAGGCACTAAGCAAGACACAGCAGTTGTCATTATTGGATGTCCCCGTTACAGAATTACAGAGAGACCACCCCCTCTAGGAAAGAGTTGGGCTGTTAGTTTACGCCGGCAGAGACAGTTCACGGCTCACAGCTGTTGACCTTGGTATGTGTTGGGTGAGTTTATAACCAAATGAACGCATTTTCAAACCCAGTCTACCCCAGGGGTCGGGGGTGGGGAGGAAGCTGCACTTGTCTGCAATGGGTGACTTTTCCCGGGTGAGGGCACTTCTGGGCATTCCGCACACATACCTAGCACCCACTCTGAGATGTGTACAGAGCTGAACTTCAGGAGGGCAACTTCAAGGGCAACAAGGCTTTGCTTTTCCTGAAAGGCCCGTTCCAAGTCCTCCTCGGGGGCTGCAGGGGCAAGATGCCATAGACAGGTGCTTCCACAACCAACGATGATTTCTCACAGCTCTGGAGGCTGTAAACCCAGGGCCAAGGTGCTGGCTGACTTAGTTCCTCGTGAGGGCTGTTTTCCTGACTTGAGTCAGCCCTTTTTCACTGTGTATCATGTGGTAGGGAGAGAAACATAATCTCCTTGGTATCTTTTCTTATAAGGGCACTAATCCCGTCGTGAACGTGCCACCCTCATGATCTCATCTAAACCTCATAACCTCCCCACCTCCTGCCCACAACGCTGGGGATGAAGCCTTCAACTTATGAAGTGGGGTTGGGGGAAGAGGGATACCCGACCCTCAGCCCTAGACACCTGGGAGTTTGCCATCCTCCAAGCATGGTTGGAACCACGTATTCCCCCTGCCCATCAAGATTTCCTATGAGGCAAAAAGTACACCACCCAGGAGAAGAGGGCACAGACACATAGTCACACTCAAACCCACCCCACCCCACCCCGCCGCCGCCAGTCACAAAGGCCAGAAAGAGAAGCATCCCTCCCCCTCTCCTAAGGAGGCCTTGGGAGCAGAGGCACCCAGCTACACAAAGAGAAATGCAGGAAAAGAGAAAAGGCTGCAGAGAAGCAGCTCAGCCCCCTCCCACCCTCATCTCTTTCCAAGAATCCCCTCCTTTGAGTCTCCCGTCAGCGAATCGGAATGTCACTGCCTTATGCCTCTAGACAGCGTTGCTGACAAAGGCTTCGATTGGGCAGTCTTTTGCCCTAATGTAACCCCGCCTCGCAGCCTGCCTGAGGTGACCAGGGGCGGATCATGTGCTGCCTCTGTCAAGACGCCTCTGTGAGCTGCCTGCCTGCTGTGGTTGGCAGGAGAAAGGCTGCCTGGGGACTTACATCATCACCCCGGTGAGAGCCGCATGTGCTGAGACCTTTGCCCACTCTGGGCCCCGTGCTAGACACTTTGATTTGAATTCCCATATGGTCCTCTACAGTCTCACGCAGGAGGTAGTGTGATCCCATTTTGTAATGGATGAGACTGAGGCTCTGAGGAGTTAGCTGATTTTCCCACACCACACAGCTGGTGAAACGTGTGTCCGAGCCAACTTCTTTCACTGTTGTAGGCATTGAGCCCCCACACCACAGTGGACAGATTCTTGCAGCTGGTTGGGAAAACTTCCCCAAGTTTCCTCTCTTTCTTTCCTGATTATCCCATAAATCTTTCAATCAAAATGTATAACAGGTGGAATCCCATGCCTTAAGTACAGTTAAATAATAATGACTTTATCGAGGAATGAATGAAGGTAGAAAATGGAATTGGATGAAGTGCCTAGAATTGTGCCAGGCACATAGTAGACACTCAATAAGTATTTCTCGATGATGGAACAAAAGAAGAATAAGCCAAAGTATAAGGAGTGGAAGAATTTTAACATGAGGTCCAAATATTTTAAGGAACAGATAAAGTTTATAGTCCTGCTGGAATTTCAAATTCTTCTTTTTGAAATGTTGGTGAAAGATTTACTGGGTCCAGCAGGATATCATTAAATATAAGGAATCTTCAACACATTCATGGAAGACACATTAACTTATCTTTTAATTCCATTTTTCTATAAACTTCAAAAAATTTTCAACTTTATTTGCAAGACAGAGACAGAGAAAGATCTTCCATGTGCTGGTTCACTCCCCAGACACCCACAACAACAAGGCTGGGCCAGGTAAAGCCAGTAACCCAGCACAGGTCTCCCATGTGGGTGGCAGGGACCCAAGCAGTTGAGCTATCATCTGCCACCTCCCAGGCTGTGCATTAGCAGAAAGTTAGAATGGGAAGCAGAGCCAGAACTCAAACCCAGGAACCATAAAATGGGATGTGGGCCTCCCAAGTGGTTTTTTAAAGGCTGTGCCAAATGTCTGCCTTCCACAAACTTTATGGGGTCACTCAGAAAGTGGATGCAGCAAGCCCTGGCTCGCACCCCCTCCCTCTTGTCTCTCATGTGCTTCTTGCAAGTGATTAGTGCTGCTAATCTATCAGTAGAAAAGCCTTTCATTCCATTGAATGGGCTCCTACTCTTCAGGAAGCACTAGGTAGGTCAGTGCATATGGTATGGTCCCTGCTCCCAAGGGAGAAAAGCATAAGATTTGGAGCAAAAGGTCCTAGATTTCAGTCCCAGATCTTGCCAGGGTGTGTGTTTCGCACACCATTTAGTCTCAAGTTCCCCATATATGTATGAAATGGTTGCAAAATTACTTTATGGGGGGTAATTTTAAAGGTAGCAAGCAAAGTTAATTATATATAATATTTAAAGGGGGCTTGATAAGTAGTAAGTGCTATTCATTAAATTTAATTTAATATAAAGAGAATATGAAGAATTTCATCTTGTGCAGGCACGAAGGTTAGCCTTCCCCCAGGAAAGGGGGGGGGGGGGGGAGCTGTGCACTGGAAACCTGAGAAGGATTCGAGCTGTCAGGTTTTCAGGTAAGATAGGGGGCGGAGGAACACAGAAGTCTGTGGCCCAGGTGGGCCTGTCTACCTCTTCCCTACTGAAGCACAGATGCGTCCCACAGCTCCCGTGGCCGCAGGAGGAAGGAGCAGCCCAGGGCCCAGCTGCATCTGGTGAGAGCTCTGCTGTCCCCCGGGGCTCGCTGTGCCCTGCCCTGCCCTGCTCCGGGCACTCTGAATTCATGACAGCCAGCCCTTGTCGGATGCCAGGGCCTATTCGGACGGGGCCCAATAAAAATATAGAATTTATAAACACAGGATGATCTGAGAGTTTGAGAACAGAGCAACTTAGCACACTGAGGAGGGAAAAATTCCCCAAGGAGGTGGCCTTTGGCTGAGAGGCAAAGGATGGAGACTTTTTCCCAAAACAGGAAAAAACAAGGATGGCTTTACACCTTTAGGCAAATAAGAATTCAGTAGAATTGAACTCTGTACCAGAAACTGCCTCCACTTAACCCAGGGGGTTAAGAGAGCTGGAAAGGGAAGAAAGCACTGGGGGATGCTTCTTGATCCTCTTGGGAGGAACACGGGCAGCTGAGGCTTTGCCACCCAGGGTTTGACTCATTCATCATCTCTGGCCTTGGCCATCACCTTGCTGTTGGCCTGATGCATTGTCTATAAACTAAGGAATTCCACACCCTGCTCACGACGACGTCACTGTGGGGACTGAAGAGCGTGATGAAGGTAAAGTGTCCACCCAGATGCCAGGGACATAATCAGCTCAGGAAAAGTGGCAGCGGCTTTCCCCTTCCCCGTCCTGAGTCAGTGCCCGATCAGAGGTCAGAGATCAACCAGGACCAGCCCATTCGTTTGCCTTTAGCCACAAGATAGGCTTCAGAGCCTGCTGCTAAACTCAGAAATATCTGCCTCTTCCCACTTATCCGCAGAAAAACTTGTGCAAGTGTTGAGCCCTCGGGGAAAGAAAGACTGTTAATTAAGCATAACCCCATTCTGTCTGAAGACTGTAATTACCCTTCCATGGAGATGTCTTGCCTTGAGACTTCCTCTGCTCCCAGGAGTAGCCTATCAGAGCCCAGCCTCCTGAGGATGCAAACGCAGGAGGTCTGGGATCTGAAAACCTTCCCACAGAGGATGCACGCAGTTCCCCTGGAAGATTGTTGTAAATAATTAGTGTGAACCCCAGTTCTTCTCTGAGCCTTGTGACACACAGAACACCAAGCCTCTAAAGCATTTCGCAAAGATTTTAAACTCGATGGAGACATCCAAGTCTCACCCGCTCTGCCCTTTGTCCTCCCCACACTTGAATTCAGGATAGTGAGAGCACAGAAAATTTTAATTCCCAGAGGATTTGGATTTTTTTTTTTTTTTTTTGTTACAGTTCATTGCCACTGGGGGAAAAATGTCAGGGTTACTACAAAGAAAGATCAAGTTTAAATGCAAGCTATACCTAT